TGCAGTAACACGGGGCAGTTGTCCTGAGAGCATGGGCTGCATCCCAGGAGGGGACTGAGTTTGAAGATCCGGCCACCCTACCCTCTACTGTCTGCCATTCTAGAATCGTCTATTGGTGACTGAAAAAGGGGCCATTAAGGAGCAGGCTGGATGGTGGCTGGCACCTAAATCCACACCTGAGCCATCTTGAGCAGCATCTCTCATTTCCACAGACCCTTGTATTATACTCAGGAACCTGCCTGCAGCCAGACCTGTCAGCCTCAAGTCTGCTGGAAGCTGAAGCCCACAGGGCTCCCCCCAGTCCTGTGCCCTCAGGGAGGCTGCGCGTGGCGGCAAGGTCGGGAGGCTGGGGGCTGAAGGCTTCCTCCATGAAGAAAATCAGGTCTGAGGACACACTGTTCACAGGGTCTTCTCCACATGGGCACTGACAGGGCAGGACCATGGCAGGTGGTGGTGACTACAGGAGAGGAAGCTTCAACATCCGTAAGTGAGGCCCAAATCCAGAGGCCCCGTGCCAGCAACTGAGCATCTGGATGGGTGTGGGCCTTTTACCTCAAGTGCTCTGTGCCTGCCCGGGTGCTGAGGCCTGTGCCTGAGCTGGGCCTCGTAGATAGCCATAGCAGGGGATGCTGGAACTCCCCAGCAGGTCACATCACCTCCCTCAGGTGAGCTCTGTGGTATCTGCTGCATGACTGACTGACTGAGTGCCAGCCCCAGCATACTCCCCACTAGCCAGTGCCCCTTCCACCCTCAGGAGGGACCCTCCTCAGATGGAGACGAGGATGAATCTTGCTTCTCTCAGGCTCTGCTGTTGAGGCTTCTGTCCCAGCAAAGTCCTTGCTTCCCTGACAGAAGGGCTGATGTTAATGGTTCATGAGCCGAACAAGGCTTGGAATATACTTTGCTTAAGAAGAAATGACAACATACTTTCTGTGGGAGTAGAACTTTAAATACAAGTCCACACAAATGGTAGGATTGATGCAGACCCAGTGTTCAGCTGCATTTCAAGTACAGCATTTTCTCCTGGAATGGATTGGCTGACTGAGTGGTGTGTAGGCATTTCAAGGCACCAGAGAACACAGATGAAGACAATAAACATTCCTAAAACAGAACAGACCTGCTAAAATTCTTCTGAAGGGAATCATTTCACATTCAGCCTAAAGTTTTCTGTGCAAAGAACATTTAACAAACTGAGTCCTAGAGGAGACTTTGTGCAGAGATTAAAAAAGCAAATCAGTGTGAATGAGTAAATAAAATCAGGCGTCAGCATCTCAGCAACCCTCTCTGCAGCCCTGGGAAGCCGGGCCCAAGGCTCCGATTTCTGGACTGAGGCTGGATCTTACTCACCACTGAGGGCTGAGGCCCTATTCCTGGGACCTTTCAGAGACCTTGGATCCTGGTCCACTGCTATACTCAGGTCCTCCCTCCCTCTACAGACAGTTCCACAGGAGCCATTGGCTCTGAGAGAACCAACCAGAAGACCCACTGAGAGAGGATGCCCCAGCTCATGTGGAACCATGGCTGCTTGCTTGGGGAGGCCTCCCACCTGCCTGTGGGCTGTTCAGGGCCTGCTCCAGAATGCATAACTGGGAGGGGATTGGAGGTTGCTGGAGTCTGCTGCCCAGAGTGGGGGCAAGACTTACAGCTTCATTTGCATAAGACTGTGAATTAGTGATTTGTCCACGTCAAAGACCAGCGGGGAAGAGATCATGGGGTCTGTGCCCCGCCCCCAAGTTCTCTCTAATTGCTGCCTCTAAACCTGCCTTCCAAGGTTCTGTGGCTCTGGGTTTTAATTCACACCTGCCCCCCTGCCCTGTCTATACCTGCTCTTGGCTGTTGAATCCTACACTTCTGAAAAGGGTGATAAGAACTCCTGGCTGTGGTCATGGAGGCTGTGTGTCCCCAAATTGTTGGTATAGACACCCTGGTGGAGACAGAGACACATCTTCATTCAGGACTGAGTAACTTAAAAAGATGAGCATGCTTTGCCTTTGTGAAGGTCCTAGTAGACTTTTCCCTTGTTGTTTTCCTCTGCCTCCATGCCTCGGACGGAACGCTTGCCTGACTTTCTCTGGTTCCTAGAGCAACTGGAGCCTGCTTTCCAGGCAGGAGGCAGGAGGCAGGACTGCACTTTCTGGTCCCCTTGTGCTTGGGTGGGTCATGTGACTAGTGAGCTGTGAGTGAAAGTGATATGCATCACTGCTGGGCCAGAAACTTAACAGCAGGTGTGAGACTTTCCAGAGTTCTCTCTCTTCTACATCGGTCTGCAGAGTTTGAAATGGTGGCTACTTGGTCAGCCTGGGCCGCAGGGTGAGGAGACATGGATGGAGCAAGAGCCCAGCTAACCCGCATGTAGCTGGAGTGAGAAGAAAACCTTTGATTATAAGTCACAACATAATCTGTCCTATTGCGACCAATAGAGGAAGGCTTCTGATTTGGTATTTACTCAGTCCATTTACCAAAAATAAGCCTTCTTGATTGACAGCCCTTGGTTTCCCAGGAATATAGACAGAACTACCCTCCAGACCCGACTCTCTTCAAGAAAGATCTTCATTTTAAATGTAAGAATGATGTTCCTTTGCCCTAAAGCCAGACCAGGTGGGAGGCTTACTCCTTCCTACCCTGTCAATGTGTGGACTGAAAAGTCAATTCCTGCCTGTGTCCCTGGTCCTTGGGACCATGAAGCATCAGGGGAGCTGAACCTTAATCTTTCAATTTTTAGTGAAAACTGTTTCTGCTCAGAGAAGAGGCTGTAGCTGGTGATATAGGTAGCAAAGTAAATCGTGGACATGGGGAAGTAATTCCATTGGAAACTTCTGCCAGGGATCAGAATATGGGATTGGTCTCAGGGCCACTGAAGTGGACAGCAGCTTGAGATGGAGCCAACAGCCTATGCTTGATGCTTGGGAGTCAGAGCCGAGAGGCCGGGTGTGGTCAGACACTGCCAGGTTGTGCTGGTGGACAGGTGCATGCCAGGGCTGGTGAGGGGCCGGGGCAGGGCAGCAGCTGTTAAGCTGGCAAGCTAGGGTGCTCAGGATACACTCCTTATGAGTCAGATGCAGCACTATGACTGCTGGGGGTATTTCACAGCAAGGGCCCCAAAATCTCTGGGGGCAGAGCCTTTGCTTTCTAGGTGAATATATTTGAGTGTGGGGGTGTCCTCCTAGAGGGTATGGAGACAGAAGCGTGGTGGGTGGTGGGTGGGACCAATAGTGAGCGAAGGAGGGAGATCAGGTGGAGCTTCAGAGAGAGAAGAGCAGGCACGAGGGAGGCGGAGTCACTCGGGAAGCCCTGCCTGCCAGGCCCCAGTGACTTCCAGGTCCCAGACTGCAGGCCAGGAGGGATTGGGTATATGTTGGGGGGGGGGGGGTTAGCTGTGGAAAATGGGCCTGAGCGGAAGATCCCATGCATGTACCTACAGTTTATCCCTAGTTGGGTTTGTTTAACTTAAATGCTTCGAATGTCTGGTTAACATCCCACCTGCACTGCACAGACCCAGCTAGCTTTAAGCACTCCGGCGGCTCAGAGCCATGAGGACCTAGTGTGCTGGCTGGGTCTGTCCTGAGCTCTGGGAGGGCTGCGTGACCCTCTGGCCGTTGGGGGTCTGGGCAGCCACCCAGCTGGAATCTACCTGCACCACCCCCACTGCTAGACAGGAGGTGCACAGGATGTCTTTCCAGGCTTTCTGATAAAGTTTTGGAAAGAAAATTTCCAGAACAGAGGTCAGCACCAAGGAGAAAACAGTCTGTGCAGTTTTAGCCAGATTTGCTTTAAGAAAAAGACTCAACAGGAGGCTTAAACTGCTCAATCCTCATCTGTCCCTCAGCCCTCTGCCCCTTGGTCCTGGGCCATCCTCCTTTTTTTCCCTTCCTGCACTTGGGACTGCTCCTTCTCAGAGCCCTTTGCTGTCCCCTCCTCCCCTGCCCCTCCCTTAGGAACTGGACCTTTCCTGCCTCTTCTCTGTTCTCGTGGTTGATGCCTTGCTGGTCACATGTTGCCAGGTAACAGCCAGCCCAGATGTCTCCCTGATCTCTGACCCCATGAATTTGATTGACAGCTGTCCATCTTCCCCTAAAAGCTCATCATTCCTCTTCCTCCACTTCCCCAACACCGTTTCCTGAGCTCCCCTGTTAAACTCTCCCATGGCCCCAGCTGCCCCCAGGAAGATACACCTGGCAGGGAAGGGCAGGCGAGGCCCAACAGCCTGATGGCTCTGCTCCCTCCTCCTTCTGAAGTCCTAAGGGCCCTGATTTACACAGTTCCCCACCACGCCCTTCTAGACCCCCATGCCTTTGCTGGGGTCTTCCCTCATAGCCCTTATCTGGGCGAGGGGATGAAGGCTCAGCAGAGGGGCTTGGGGTTTGGAAGTCACAGTAACAGTCTCTTCACCAAACCCCAGCTAGTCCCCTACTCAATGGCCCCAAGAATGACTGGAGACCTTTGGCTTAAACAGGCCATTTCTCTCTCAACACCTGCCAGTTTCTGTGCATTTATTGTACGTTTGCAGTCTGCACACCAGAAAGATGACCAGCCCCTCACACCTTCAGATCACCCAGTTAGAAACGGTACTGAGGAAAGGAAGCTCAAGCAATGTTTGCAAATTCCTTCCCTCAAAACAAAAGGAGGGAGAGCCTTATGTGTGTGGCTGTATGGGGTGTCTCTGCATAACTAGGGACCCTGCCCATATGGCAGACACCAGTAGCCTTGGAGCTCGGGGGTGGGGGATGAGGTGCTCACCCACCCACTTCAGCCTCCAGTCTTGGGGAATGCGAGTTCTGAGTTCTAACTCTTAGGCCCCTGTCCCTTTACAGACACTCAGTATTTTATCCCATCACCTGACCCTAGATGTGTGTTGGGCACATAGTAGGCAGATAATAGGAACCCCTAATGACTGACTGACAAGTGTCAGCCCTGCCCCCTGCAGACCTGGTGTCCAGTCAGGGTGGCTTTACAAACCAGTTCATCAGGGGGGCCCCCAGCAGCCTGCTCAGGACCTCAGACTCATTCCCTCCCTCCTTTCCTTTCTCTCCCTGTAAGGTGAGGGCACAGCTACGAGTCAGTCCATGGCAAAGGCATGGGGGAGACTAGGAATGAGCATCAGACAAGCAGAGCTAACAGATCCACTTCTTGGGGGTATCTGAGCAGATGTCACACAGACACGGCTCCCAGTATGTGCTCTTCACACAGATGGTGCCTCTATACCGGACAACCACCCCAAGTGAGTAAGTGGGTCCCATTTGCCGATGAGAAAACTGAGACTCGGAGAAGTAATGACAGTCCCTGAGAGGTGCAGCCAGGTTACCTGACTCCAATTCCCCTTTCCTCTCTACCTTTCTCACCAAGGCTGAATACAAATGACAAGCAAACATATTCAAAATCCATAAAAGAGCGCTGTCCAGCTCCAAGACCACCCACATCCAGGACAAGTTCCCAGGTACGAGTAACAAGTCCCCACGCTTTCCCTTCCCCATCCTGCTTGTCCTTCCCCTTCAATTCCCACCAGACCCTCATCGCTTTTTTCCAGTCCCCTGAAGGTTACATTTATCACCTACCCCCACTGAGGCCTCAGTGAAAAACCCAGTAATTTCCTCCTCATCTACCTTCTCTTTTGTTCTTCCACCCAGTAACCATCACCTTGGACCCCCAAATCTCCTACCTCCATCCAGCCTGGTGATCTCCCTGGCAACCCTGAAAACATTTAATTTGCCAGTATTTGGGAGGGGGTGGGTTCTTACAATGGTCCTGCTGAGGTTCCAGTCAGGGGGTCACTGTATTGCTAGTTTCTGCTTTTATTCCTGAGAATGGCCCAATAGTTTGAATTATTTCTTTAGGATGGATTCAAGGGTAAAATTACTAGGTAAACTTTAAAGCTTCTGATATATATTGTCAAATAGCTTTTCACCCAAGTTGTTTGAGAGTGCATATTTCACAGCATCCTTACCTGCTCTGGGTTTTAGCATTGAAGTTAGAAAGAAAAGAAAAAAGTTTATTGGGTAATGATATCTGGTTCCATTTTCCAGAATATTTCATTGTACTCCTTCATGTTTTTGTGAAGTGCTGCCTCAGTCCTTTCTCTACATATCGAAGGAGTTTGTATTTTCTCCATTGATTTGGGCATATCAGACATACCCCCTCCATTGGCACTGTATTCCACAGGAGGGCTGGTTGCTTACCCCAGAGCTGTGTTTTCAAACTTTTTAACCAAGCAGCAGAGCCTTTTCTTAACCTCCACAGCACTTTTTTATATAAACCATTAGTAACCAGCCTATGAAGGGAGGCCTGGAGCACCACCCCCCACTGCCAGAAGCCCCTGTCTTACCTGAGGAGGAGCTGTTGGCACCTTCTTTTCCTTCTGTCTCAAGAGGAAGCGTCACTGTGGAGTCAAGGACCTGAAAGGAGATGATGAGCGCGGTTCACAGAGGTGCTTGGAACTCAACCCACAGCAGAACAGCCCAGTACAGGTGAGCCAGGTACAATGACCCTGGGGCCCCACCTGCGCCGCCACCGGAGGCACTGCCGCACCCTTATTGTCGCCAAGGAGATGGTGTGGGCCCGGCTGTCCCTGAGGACGAAGTGCAGTCAGAGGGGGCGGGGGCGAAGGTTTGTGGGACAGACTTGGACAGGCAGGGGTGGGAGGGTGGAGGAGGAGGGTTGACAGATGGGGAGGACTCCCCAGTGAGACCTCCACCAGAACAGCCGGACCCAGTCATGCCTGGAATGTTCAGGGTGGGGGACAGGGAAAGGCAAATTCAGAGCTCCAGCCATGGGGCCTGGTTTTGATCTGATAGGCGAATCTAGAACAATCAGAGCTCTCCCGAGGAGCTTTCTGTAATCTCTGCCTCACAAGGATACCTTGGGGTGGGGGAAAGCTGAACCCAGGCCCAGGAAGAAGGACAGTGGCCAACAGGACAGGGTGGGATGGAGGAGGAAGCCCGATGGAGAGGAAGAACTACAGGGGTTGGCAGCAGATAAGGAGGGGCAGGTAGACAGGGCGGCAGAGGAGAGACTCGGTGGGGACACTTCGTGAACCCAGTGAGGTCTCCGGAGAGGACGGTTGGGAGGGCTCTCATGTGAGCGGAGGCCTTTGGACATGATGCTACTGGCTCCCTGCATCCCTCGCAGACCCAGTCCGAGGATCCACTGCCTAAGACACTGGTGCCCCAGTCGGGGTTCTTAGGTGGGCTTCTGTTCTCTCCCCGCCTAGCCTTTCTAGGTCCTCCCCTGACCTCAGGTGCAGGCCACTTCCGGAATTTCTGAACCCGCTCTGAGTCCTGGCCCCATGCAGCTCTCTGAGCTTGCCCTCTGGCCTCAGGCGTAGTCCTGGCTTTTTTGTCCTGCTTTCCAGTGCCAAGTCCCGCCCCAACTTTCCAGGCAAATCTTAGACTCCTGGCCCCGCCCTCTGGACTCAGGCCCAGGAAGTTCAGCCAGCACCCCCCCACACCGCCATGCAGCGCTCCTTCTCAAGCCAGTTTTGTTGCCCTGTCCAAAGACCTCTTACCACCCCCACATCCTGAGCAGGGCAACTGTTACTCCCCAAGGCCCTACTGGACCAGCTCACGTCCTTTATATACACTTATTTTGCCAATCAGCCAAACTGTTAAGAAGAATTTGAAATTTGAGTCCCAATGTCTCTGCCCCCAAGCTAAAGATGTTTGCAGAAGGGCTGGCAGGAATGTCTCCTCACTTGGCAAACAGTTGGCACCCTGCTGATTAGGAATCCACACTGAAAAGCTCCAGAAAGACATGAGTTCTAGTCAGCTAAATGGTCTTGGGCAAGTCATTTAACCTGTGAGTCGCAGATGCCCCCTCCTCTGTAACACAGGGTCTTGAATGGTCACGGCCAGGACCAAGTGGGCATGAGTACTTGATGTTGCCAGATGAGGGTGGGAAGAATGAAGCCAGAGCTCCTAGGTCCTTACTCTACATGAGATAGCCTGTGTTCCCCTAGAGGCCCTTGTTTCTATGTGGGCACCTTGGCTTATTTCCTCGGAGTTAAGCACCTGGCAGGCATCTCTCCCCATCTTACCTGATGAGAGGTCAGAAGGCAGTTTTCTGTCCTGGCCTCCTGGGGAGGCTCTGTCACACCCTATATCTGAGACATCTGCCAGGGTAACGACCTACATGAATCTCTGTCCTTCACCCTCTTGCTGGGCTGCCCTGACCCTAGGCCACAGGCTGACAAGCATCTGGAAGTGGACATGAAAGAGGCAGGCCTCTCGTGAGCGCTCCTGCCTGTGCGCCTCTCAGCTTCACCCCCACCTCTCGGAAAGGGAAGAGCTCACTCCGCATCCCTCAACGAGGAGTTTTCAGTCAGATGTTTCCTAAACTGTCCCCTAAGAGCTACACATCCTCTCTCCCCTACCAAACTCTTCTGAAAAAAATCTCCTGTGTATTTTTTTCAAAATAGAATTAAATGACAGGAACTAACTATTTAGGGAGGGGTTCCTGAAGGGAAATGGAATCTCTACAATCTTGAAATTACAGGACCTCTTCTTTTCTCAAAAGAAAAACATGTCAGATAGTTGATATTCTGAGCCAGACCTTGTTTTGAGATATGGTGTCCTCTGTCCTTTCACAAACTACCTTTTTCCCTCTTTGAAAATAAGATCACATCAAGTCAAGAATTAAAAATGGGAAAAATTCAGTCAGAGCCTCCCTCTGCCAGCTCCACATCTCAATGCACTCCCAGGCGAGCAGAATCAGCTCCTACTACAACCCAGCTCAGCATCATCATTCAAAACGCACCGGTAGGAAATGGTAAAACAGAAGGACCTTTCATCCTGAGTGAGCGAGGCCTGCAACGCTGTTCTCCTAGCTCCGGAAGCTGGTGGTGCCTGGGCCCAGTGGAGTTGGGGCCTCTTACTTAAATAGGCATGGGAGTGGGCAGGGCGGGTCTGGGGGGCGGGCACGGAAAGTGGGACGGTTACCCAGCACAGCAAGGCAGTGTCCACGGAGCCAGCCATGGTCCTAAGCATGCGCCTGCCTGCTTGTCCACCAGGAGCCTCAAGCCCACAGGCCCCTAGACCACAGACCAGCACCTGGGGTGACCCCTGATGGACGTGCAGCTCCAAGTGAGACCATGTCCCTGGATGCACAGAGCTTGGTCCAGGCTCCTGGATGCCTCTACCTCTCCTGAGATACAGCCTGGGCAGCAGAAACAGTTGTGGAGTTGGACAGACCTCCCTAGACCAGTAAGTAGTGGCTTCAGGCCAGTCATCTCTCCAAGCCTCAGTTTCTACTTTCTGGAAATGAGGATAATAACACTGACTTTCTTGGTCAGTGTTTGCAAAAGGCCTGGAACCTAGGAAGTTGATTTGTTTATCCACATGGTGATGCTGGCTGGGGCCAGGTACCTTCCACATGGTTCAAGCCCAGAGAGGTTCGGTAACATACACAAAGTCACACAGCCCTCTACCTGAGTGTCAGGATCAGACCTCATGCAGACCTGAAACTAGGTTGGGGGGGCATAAACCCCTTAAGGATAGGGTGTGGAGCAGCTTTTGGCCTTGGGGAAAGGCCTTGACCAAACTCTGGTGAAAAAGTAATCCCTAGACCCCTAACCCAAGGCAAGTTTAGAGGCATGGCTGGACAGGCTAGCTCAGATGACCTGTCTGTGCATTTGGTTGCGACCTTAGGGAGGGTGCAGAAGTACCCCAGAGTAACTTCTAGGGATGGTTGGTTAGAGGAGCTGCCCCGCCCCTATTTCATATGTTGAGGCCCTCACCTCCAGTGTGGCTGTATTTTGAGATGGAGCCCTAAAAGAAGTAACTAATGTTAAATGGAGTCATAACGTTGGGCCTCTGATCCGATAGAATTAGTGTCCTTATAAGAAAGACATCAGAGAGCTCCTACCTGCTTGCACTAGCATGAAGGGAAGGCTTGCAATGTGAGGACTGCAAGCTAGGAAGAAAGATCTCACCCAGAAACCAAATCAGCCAGAGCCTTGATCTTGGACTTCTAGCCTCCAGAAGTGAGAAAATAAATTTCTTATGTTTAAGCCACCCAGTGTTTATGATATTTTGTTACGACAGCCCAGCAGACTACTACAAATGGCTGGGGCAAGGGGTGGCTGAGGAGCATGGAAAGGACCAGGAATGAATTCAAAGGTTTCCAGCTCAAGCAGCTGTATAGGCATTGAGGTGGCTGTCGGGCTAGGGATGAGGTGAGTGAAGACAGGGTTGTGATGCTGAGGGACATTTGCATGGATGTGACCACATGGCAGTGGGACAGTCAGGCCTAGAACTCAGAGGAGAGATCTGGACAGGACTGGGATTTGGGAATTATTAGAGTGTAGATGAAGTGTTAGGAGTGATTACATTTCAGATCACTTATTCTTTTTCAATTGATTCATTCTCATTCCATTGTCTTGTTATATTAGCTTTTGTCTTTTACATTTTTATAAAGAGTCAGACATTATTTTTTGCTTTTAAAAAATATAATTGTGGAGGGTGACCGGTTAGCTCAGTTGGTTAGAGCATGGTGCTGATAACACCAAGGTTGCCGGTTCGATCCCTGAATGGGCCACCATGAGCTGCACCCTCCTTAAAAGAGTCAACTATGCCATGTAGCATGAAAGCAATGTGTAACCAATGACCATGGCATATATATATATATATATATATATATATATATATATATATATATATATATATATATATATAATTGTACACAAATTCTCCCCAGTTTTTAAATGACTTTGTTTTCTCCTATAAGCCTTGTTTAGGACTATAGCAGAAATGTGGTTAGAATATACATGTGTGGTTAGAATTGCACATTTTTTACGGAGGTTAATTTTGTCTTCATTATTTGTGATGTCAGTTCTCTTGTCATCTTATCCAATTTCAAAAGAACATATCTCCCTTCACTTCAGCTTGCCAGATAATTTATCATTCAAAATCCCTGCTAGCAAATGCTTATTTCTTCCCCTTAGGGTTAAATTTGAAAGGCACAGTGTGTTTACTTTCATCCTAGGCCAAGCTGCTTTTAATCTCATGAAACTTTTCTTGTGTTATTTTTTTTTCTGAATTTTCCCTCATCATATGCCTCATCTCATTCATCTCTCTCTCCTATTTTAGAGCTGTGATACCATTTTCCAAATCAGTTATTTGCACCTGTTTGTTTTCTTTGTCTACATTTCTGGTTTGATGTTTTATTTTATCCTCAACATCACTGATTTGTTTGTTCTGTCATTTCAGTTATGCCAACTACTGCTTCCAGATGTTTTTCAGTCCTTTTATAGTTTTCACCATGGAATTAGAGCCATTGTTTGTTCTGATCTGTTCCTGTTAGTAATATTTTGGTCATGTATTTCTTTCAAAGCAACTATTACCCAGTTGATCTTTTTTGTTCCTGAGGCTTTTCAGATTCCATCATTGAAAAAGTTAATTGACATTTATTTAGGGCCTACTGTGTGCAGACCCCGCTGTACATGTATTTAGCACTTATTGCAGCCTGCTTCCCTTCTAAGTTCAGTGTGGCAGAATTCTTCAGTTAGAGCTGCTTTGAGGAAGGTTCTGAGTAACTGAGATTTAGTCCATCTTGTTCCAAAAGAGATTTAAGATGACTGAAATTGTGTTCTACGTTCAACATGATGAGACTTTTTTTTTAAGTAGTGAGAGAATTAGGGATAACGAAAATAAAGGTAGAAAAAACGTGAGGCAGCCAAGCAGATCTGAAGGTAGAGTGAGTGAGGGGAGGGCCTCTTAATTCTGACCATGGCCTCAGGTGGTATCTTATGACCCAGGCTTCTCCTTTTGATTATTTTTGGTGGCGTTGAAATAACCCTTTGTTTCAAGTTATTATTTGAATGGCTGCAGCACAAAAGCCCCCATGGTATGACTTTTTCCGAAAAGACCCTGTGTGGGAAACACTTTTTTTTTTTCTCCCAGTAGGGATGGAATTGCAAAGAAACAGAGGCAAGATACATGCATGATGGCAGTAGATGTGGCCGGCAGCATGTAAACAGTGCAATAGTTGCCTCCTGCTTGTCTTCCAAAAATCAGTATTGATTAACTAATTAGCCGGGTATTTCCTGTGTTCTGAATCATAGTTTCCCTGTTTTGTGGTGGCAAGTATAGTCTGGATAAGAGGAACCTTCTCGGGGGCTCTCTGTTCCCAAAGAGCTCCAGGGTGGCCTCGTTTCACACCTCTCAGGAAGCAGGCTTTCGAGTGACAGGTTGATTGCTGTATGGGTGGTTACCAAAAAAGAATCTATTTTATTAGCTGTTTGTCTTGCAAAGTGAAGTCGTCTTTTGAAACTTTATTAAAATGTCATTTTCCCAGGGTTTAAGAACACATCCTCTGGCTTTGCAGGAAGATCTGCAGATCCCACAGGTAAAGAGAGCTGTCATGTCAGGGTCTGACTCCAGCCCTGAGATTATGGTGATTGGGATGTGGCCACCCAGCCTTAGGCTCCCTTGGGGTGGAGGGAGGCCACTGAGGGACAGCTGGGTACCAAAGAGGTGTCACCAAACCTCATCCTGGTGCCTGAATTGTCTCTTTTTTTTAATACATCAAGGAAAAATAAAACTCTAGACATTCCTACACAAGAGACTGTGTATGGGTAGCTTTGCTTTTCTGTTTGAGGAGGAAATAGAAAACATTCCATTTACTCATTCTTTTTAGATTAAAAACAATTTAGTACTTTTTAAGTTTTAAAAAGTATTTGACCTCCTATTGGTGGCAGTGAAAGGAGAGGAGAGACAGAGGGAGACTGAAAGCCGCGGAGGAAAGGCAGGAGGCGGAGCCCTGTTCCCTGGGCCCCCGTGGCTGACCAGCCCTGCCCCAGCTCTGTGCGCTCAGCCTCCCAAAGGTGCCACAGAGGCTCTGCCTTTGGCCCCTCCCTCACCCTCACCCTGTCCTATCCAGAGTTAAGGCCAATCACTCTCAGCTCTGCAGTCCATTTCCAGTCCCTGCTCCCCCTCTTCCCTGGCCAGCACCTCCCCTCAGGCTTCATTTCTTGCCTGAATGGTGGCACAGTCACCAAGCCTGCTTCTGAGCCCTTCCCTCATGCCCCATGTCCAAGCCTGTGACTCCCCACAAGCAGCTCTGAGTTCATTCTGCCTTTGTCCAGATCTCCCTCCACACAGAGAACAAATCCCTCTGTCTAACCTGGCATGGGGGCCCTGGCCTCCTCAGCCTCACTTCTGCCTTTCCCTTCCTCCCACTCTCCTTTGTTCTGACAGCGCCAGCCTCTACCTCTCATCTTTCCTGGAACATGTCACACTCTTTCACGCCTCCATGCCTTTGCACGTGCTGTCCCCTGAGTCTGGAACACCCTCCCTGTTCAGTCCACCTGGCACCCGTCCTCTAAGGCTCAGTTCTATAGCTATCACCGCCTCCCCTTGATTGCATGCCCACCGGGCTTTGTACTGGCAGCTTAGAGCCCCCTGAGCACCAGGCACAGAGCCCCGTCCCTGAGAGGCACTCAGAGAACCTTGGTTGAATTAAATGGTTTCTGGCCAGGTCTGAATGTCCATCACCAAAAGGTTCAACTCCTTCCATACATACCAGGCGAAAGCTATGAGAAAAGTGCTCCCAATTGTTTGAATTAGTGCCTCAATTAGGCTGCCTTGTATAAAGGGAGATATGTAAAAATGTAGCCTTAAAGGTTAAAAGACTTGTGTAGACTCACACGTGTGGCATTAGCACCTGTAGCTTGCTGAGTTGACCATCATTTTCATCAACGTTTTTGGGGATCCACTGTGTGCAGGCACAGTGCTAAGAGTATTGCATGGATAATCTCTTATTTAATCCTCTGGCACCCATTTAATCCTCTGGTAGGAACAGCCTGGGCAGGTTAGGTACTATTATTCTGATGCTCAGAGAGAGAAACTGTGGCTCAGGGAGGTTAAATGACTTGTCCGGAGTCACACATCTAGAAAGTGGCACACAGCTAGAGACTCTGTGGGTAAGACTTATCCATGGCTCCATTCTGGCTAGGGTTTCGATTGCACAGGGCTCCCTGCTGCTCAGGAGGCATCCACAGGCAAGGGAGGAACACCCCCACCCCCTTCCCCTTTGCTGCCCAGAGGGGTTTGAGGTGGATGCTGCCACTGTTTGTGAATGACAAACACCCAAGTGTAAGTTGGCCCACAGCCGTTGTCTTGGACAGAGCTGGTGAGGCTTGGGAGGCATGAGCCAGCAGGAGCCAGGGAGAGCTGCTGTTAGAGGGCCAGGGGTTTGGGGAGACACCATAGTTGAGCCCCATTGTCTCTCACTGGGTCCCCACCATCCATTCGCCACAGAAGCCAAGGTAATCTTTCTGCCTACAAATCTGAGCACCTTCCCAGCTTAAAACATTGCTCCCAGGATGAAAATCCATCCCTGCAGCCACCATCTTCTCCTGTCTCACTTTTTGCCAATCTTATCCTCCCCTGCTTGTGCCTTCAGAGCCCTCCTATTTCCCCCCATGGTCCCCAGTCTCTCCCAGGGTGGGCTGTCCCCCCACACTGGAAACCCCCCCAACCCCGACCTTGCTTGGCTGGCTGCTCCTCACCTTTAGGTCTCAGCTGAAAAATCTCTTTCTCAGGGAAGCGTCCCTGATCTCCCCTTCCATTTAGTATTAGGGCCTCCTTCAGTAAGCACCCATTGTTCCCAGCCCTGCCTCAGGGGTGAGCTCGGAGGGGCTGGGACAGCGTCACATGTCAAACAGTCCTGGCCACCAGCATACAGACAAGGCTATGTGGAATGACAGCTGGGGGAAGGAATATGCCCCAATGTAACCCTTCAAAGGGAGAGGCCTGATCTGATTGTGGGATGTTGGGGACCTCCTAGGGGGGAGGGGGTCTGTCCAGGAGGTGGGCAGGTACCTGGAAGGTGCCAGGACTGTGGCCACATGGACCCCGTGCTGAAGCCACAGCTGTAGATGCCCATTCTCAAGGGGGGCAGGTAGAGGAAAAAAGGGGATCAAAGACAGAACCTCGGGACTCATCCCATTGTTGGCTTGGTGAGGAAAGAGAAAAAGAGCACTTGGGAGAGTGTGGAAGAATGCAGAAAGGTGGCTACAATATAGCGCTGTTTTTATTTAGTTCTCAGATAATCTTACTTTTTTTCTTTTTCCCTTAGAATAGCTGGAAAAGGAGGGCCCTACGTGGCAGTCCCTGGGATGAGAAAACCATGTGTCAAAGCTGTTGCTGAATCCCTCACTCTATTTTTACCTCCCTGACACTGCCCCTTTGAGCCCCGAGGAGGGAGCCTGGCCTGAGGTGGCCTGAGCTGGCGTCTCTGAGGCAGATGTGGCCAGCCCTCACCTCGCTCTCCAGAAACCACCAGAAAGATGGTTATTCACTTCTCTTGACCAGAAATAAATGCATTAGACAATGTTCTCAGGCAATCTTGAGGGATGTAAACACAGAATTACCCTATAAATTACTTGTTTCATTTCCTCAGTTCAAAGTTGGGTTTTTTGTTCGCATTAGTTACATTAAAATTGGACCGTAATTAATGTTCTTAAAATAGAATGTCCATATTCCCAAGTTTAGAAAGAAAAACCACCTAGGAATGAAAAAATGTGGACACATGTGAAATGCCATTCCATTAGCCACAGGATCTTTTATGAGCCTCAGTGGGGAGCGCCTGTCAAGTGGGGTTTGTGGCGGAGCACACCATGGCGGCCCGTGTCTGCGGTCACTTTCCATTCCCTTCCCTGCTCCAGGTCAAGGAAGCCTTTGACATCCGTGGCCAGGAGCTCTGCTGGTTCGCCAACCTCTAATTACATTTCTTTTTTTAAATATTGATAAACAGTCCCTCTGTTGATTCAAACGTTTTTAAACACTGAGCCTGTAGTTATTGGCTCTGAACAAAGACAGCAGAGCGTCCAGGCTCCTCAGGCCTGCAGACTCCTCCCTGCACCTCACACCGAATGAACTGTCTCTCTGGGCGGGGGTGGGGGGAGGTCACTTCAGGATTCAAAATCAGGCCTGGCTAGGCTGCAGGGTGAGGCCCTGCTCCCCGCAGAAGGGACTTCTGGCCTCTCCTACCCAGGCTCCTACTCTGGGTTTAGGGTGTAGGTTTAGGGGTGAGGCAGGAGGGGCCACTACCCCATGGCCTGATGCCCCACCGCACATCCGGTTGCCGCCTTGCTCATTTTTGAATGTCAGTCCCTGGTCCCACAGGCTTTGGATGTAAACAGGACAACGCCGGTGTGCTCCTGCCTACTCCCCAACACAGCTGCTACCTGGGATGGAGGGGATTGGGACTCAAGGGGATCCCTTCTAGTTCCATGGGGTCCAGAGAGGTAAGTGTCATCCATCCCATCTTGGGGACACTGACACAGAAGGACCTTCCAGGCCCAGGTGCCCCCAGAGGCAGCTGACTGCAATATGGGGGAAGGGTGGTGGTCCCTCTTCCTTTTGGAGGACTTTGGAGCCCAGTCAGCTGCTGCCTGTCAAGACTACCAGGTTCCTCGTCCTCACTGATTGGAAGACTCAGCCAGTGGCCAGGTATTGGGCATAGCTTCTGTAGTGACCATATCCAGAGTGGTGTACCTTGTTATAAATGGGGCGTGTCAGTGATGTCATTGATACCCCTAAGCCCAGTGGGTCCACAGGGCTGAGGCCAAGTTCTTGATATCATCACACTGTACCACAGCAGGGTGGCTACTATTCACCATTTTACAGATGAGGAAACAGGCCCAGAGAAGTAAAGCATGGAGCCCAGGATCACAGTGGAGGAGCTGGGATTTGCACCCAGGTCCGTCTGACTCTGAAACTAGAGATCTTCTCAATCCATCCTGCCACAGAGCCTCCTGGTCCCATTTCCTGCCTTTGGCAAGTGGCCACCCTCAGATACATGTATCAGGGGTGACGTGGTCCTGGGTTAGGGTCCAGGGCTCTGGAGAGGCGCTAGCTGCCATGGTACTTCTTATCGAGTCCTGCGTAGCTCTGCTGGGGTGTCCCCTTTAGTTGGGGGACGTTGTTGGCATGACCTATGTGGGCTCCAGTTTTAAGAGTAAATTATGGGTCAGCTTGGTGACCATTAGGCCCTTCTGCTACATCCCAGGAAATGGATGTAACCCTGTTACATGGCAAATCAGATATAATCAGCTCCTAATGCAATATGGTGTCTCTCAGTAACATTTATCAAGATGTAGAAGCTGGCCCAGTGAATTAGACAACAGTGGTGGTCAGATTAGACTTAGACAAGAATCAACTTGCACTTCCTGCCAGTTAAAAAAAAAATTAGCGGAAGGGGCAAACTTTCAGTGCCACCCATTGTAGGTACACACACTCTTGTGTTTCAGACACAGATGGGGGCATCTTTCACACAGGCTGAGCACACACCTGCAGCCTCATCCTGTCATGGTCACATCTTTCAAATCCTGACAAAGGGGCCTAGACATCGGGAACACTGCCCTGTTCAAACCGAACCTGGGAGATTCAGGGTTGGCCATTCCTGCCCCTTTTGTGCCTGAGGATGGTAAAATTCTCAGCTACTGAGTTCATGTACATGACCAACTCCGAGTGGGAAAGAATTTCTCTTCTGACTGGTGGTTTGGGAGTCACATAGGCCAAATCATAATCAGATTATTGGGTGATTGTGATTGACCTGTTAACTTTGGGATTGGATTGAACTTTCTGTCCCCGCCTCCTTCCCACTGCCAGCCCACCTGACCCATTGTGACCCCAGACCCACAGCAGACACTTCTTTGCAAACTCTCCAAGGCAGTGACCACTAGGAGCCAAAACATTCCACAGACTCCTACTACAGCCTCGCTTGGCTACGTGGGCCTGCCTTCCAGACCTCCCTGCAAGCTTTGCTGTCCCTTCACCCACACCAGGGCTGGCTGGTGACCTTCCTCTGACTCGTCAAGTCCCCCCTTTGGACCTTTGCTCCCCCAGGACCTCTCACAATTGGTAAGGTCTAATTCCTATAATAAATTTCGTATTCCATCATCCTTATAATGGCTGTGCTTCCCCATTGAACCCGAGCGATACAGCACCCACCCCAACTCTCCAGGCCTCAGTTCCTCTCTGTAAAATAGCGGTGGTATGAGACATACCAGCCCCAGAAAGGGGGCTGCATCCAGGTGCTAAGATGTTTCTGGCATGCATATTTGTCATGATCTGAGAACAAGCTTTAGGCCAGAATCATGACTCAGTCAGGCTTTTCATCTTGGCACCAGCTGTAGGAGCCCCACAGGGCAGGGCCCACAGGAGGTCAGTGAACATGTGTATGCTGGTGGCGGAAGGTGTGGGGCATCCTCCCAATGGTCTGACTGGTTATATAGTCCTGTGGGCGCTGTGACTGTGTTTAAGGCAATGGCTAGTCAGAGCCTAGGGAATTCCCCTGGCTGTGTGCTGAATTAGGAGGCTTCCGGGAAGATGCTGAGAAGGGCGAGAAGGGCTCATGAGGACTGAGACAAACTCTGCTGACTTGCTGGTGAGGAGGTTTGTTCCTGTAATGATGATGAGCTAGTCTTGCCTCCTGAGGCTGGAAAGTTGGTTTGGGCGCTGTATGAGGGTGCAGCACACCAAGCTCCATGCCCCTCCAGCCCCAGGACCTTGCTGTAACACTCTGCTCTTGGGTGTCCACAGGGCTCACTTCTTCACTGTATTCAGGTCCCCACTCCAGTGTCACCCCCTAGGAATAGACTACATCACCCAGTACAAAATAACACCCCCTTCCATCACCCTCTCTCCTTAACCTGCTCCATTTTTCTTTCTACAACATCACCACTTAACACATTATGCATTTCTGTATTGTCTCTCTGCCTCCACTAGAAGGCAAAGCCCCACGCACGAGGCAGGGAGTATGTCTGTTGTGTTCACTGTGGGATCTGTGACACCCGGAACAGCACCTGGCTCATAGCAGACGCCACTAGAAATTTGTTGCAGGTCAGAACTAACCTCTGTGTAAAGAAAAGTGCCCTGGCCTCACCACAACCTCTGTCTTCATTCACACCTGAAAACACCAAAGACAGCGCTCCTAGCCTGGAGGAAAGCTGCCTCTTGGTATCAGGGAGTCTGGCTCAATCAGTTAAGTATCAAACATGAGTTCTCAACATCCAGGGTTGTTTAGTCTTTTCTTCTAATCATTATTCGTGATCATGGGATCTGTAACCATTTTGGAAATGGATTTGGTGTGATTAATTTCTTTCCTAGCCTAATCTTCTATGGAAAACAAAAGTTCTAAATGAATGGATTTGCTGATGTTTAATTGCTTGCTTGATAACTTACCCTGGTCCCTTCCAAAATCAGGGCTGAGCATCACACCCTGAAGAATGCTCCATCTGGTAGTCCTGTAATGGAGGAGAGAAGGTCCCCATTCTCTTGTGACAGCACTTACTGAGTGCCTGTGACTAGAGGAGTGACACAGGAGACAGAGGGGCCAAGGCTCTTGAGAAGAGCTGTTGGAAGTCCACCCACTTTATTCTGCAGGGAGCATCAGTCCTTCCTGGTGCACCTGCGGCATGGCCGGGATGGTGGGCAGCATACAACCCTTGGCCTGGTTGCGCGGTTCAATCTTGGAATCCCCATGACCACAGCTTAGCACACAGAAGAGTGAAAGTGCAGGGGGTGGGGCACAGGGAGTGTCTGGCAAGGAACCTGTAGTAGCAGGACTGCAGGGACAAGTCGGGGTCCCTCAGGGAAGAGGTGGGAAGTCACCTGTGCCCCAGCCCTCCTGCCACTGAGGCACTAGCCCCAGAGGCTATTGTGTTTGCAGCCCAGCCCAGCCCAGTACAGAATCTTGGGGTATCATGACAGCCTGAAATGCGGTTTCAAAGAATATAACATAGAAAAGAAAACTTTCCACGGGAATTAGAAATGAAAAGATACCAGTACTTGACAGGGCCACTCCAGTGACTTGGAACACTGTGGGAGACCTCGTTCTTGGCAACATCAGAAGTGGGGCAGCCCTGAGTTTCCTGTTACCCCAGTCACGTGTCCAGACTTGCTGGGCCCGGGGTGTCAAGCTGGGGTAGAAGCTGGCTCTGATCCTGACATTTGATAACTCAGAGAGTGGGATTTTCCTCTTCTGCTGATTTGATTTTTAACTTTGGGGGTGTATCCTTTGTGAAATGTGTAGCGTTTGGGTGGAGACCTGTTTCTAAGGCACTGTGAGTGGGTGGGGACAGCAGGGTTTCTTCCTGCACCGCAAGTGTTTGGATGAGGTGTGGGGCCCTGCATCTTCTGTCCTACTGGCCTGGACCACACAGTTCCGAAGACCCTGCTAGCTGCCTTGGCCAGGGATCACGAAAGGAGATGCACAGAATCATTCTATTTGGGAGGCCTTATGTTCCTCTTGCATCATGAACCTAGCTACACTCAGATGAAAATGGTGACTTGGAGTAAAATGTGTGGTCTGAAGAAAGCCTTTTTCCTCTTTCAGAAATGTAAGTAAACATGGCACGGCCCCTGGAGAAATGCCAGCTCAGCCACACGATGGCACCCTCAAGCCTGGCCCTTTCACTGTGAAACCCTTGCTTCACTCCCATGCCCCTGTCTACATCTACCGGGACAATTCAGAGGCTTATGTGGACACATCCCCCTCTTCCAGCTGGGCCTCCCCCTTGAGTCATCCTCTGCCCGCAACCCAGGACTTAACAACTAACACGGGTAGCACCACCCTTATGCTGGATGAGGTGCTGAGTGATTTGCCTCACTCGGCTCTCAACCCTGTTCCCATCTGAGAAGCCCCCGACGGTCACAGCTTTTGCCCTTGGTCAGCAGCAGGCTGGGATTTGAAGCCCCATGG